CTCGAATCTTAATTAGTCGTAGACAATCGAGGCCCTGTGGCCATCTGCGCCACTCCGAAAACGATTTAGCTCGCCATTTACGTAGTCGTCAAATGCAAAATTTATCTTTTCTTTTAAAATTTCTTTAATATTAATCAAAATTACTGTTACAGTAAGTTTTGATGCCATTGAAACATCCAAAGCTGTTCCCTCATAAGCTCTAGAATGACACTCAGAACATGCAGTCTACTGACTGCTCATGTAGCGATTGTACGGCAACGATTTTCAAACACCCCCCACCCCCNCCCCCTCTCTTGAACTTCCCTACGGGTTTCTCCAAAGCAAAGACTGCTCCTTTTGAAGAGGAACATTTTCCTCGACAATAAGGCCGTAGGAAAAAGTTCTTTGTGTCAAATTCTCCGGAAATTGAAAACCGTTCGCAGTCTTTGGTTGAGTCGAGGGCTTACTCGAGTAACAATTACAAATCACAAATCGTTTTAGGTGGTGTAGCAGAAACATAACAAAAACTTCAATGATCGATTTGTTCCAGAGACGGTTTGACTATATCATCCAAATGCTTTTTATTATTGTGCGGGATTCTGCAATCAGTATTGACAAAAAATTGTTTGGCTTTTTCGCTGCTACGCATCAGGTACGCCGCTCTAGACCGTGGCCCATTGAAAATACTCCTATTTTTTCTTCTCGACTGGTTCGCTTCCACTAGTAACAGTGGGTACGTGTTAATGTTACAACTAAATGACTGCGTATTTTTCTAAGTCTGAATCATTCCATCCCGTCTGAGGGATGCGCCTGGCATTCGACTCAAGTTCAGGATCGTATTGGGGTAATAAATACGTACGTGGCCTATACAATGACTTGCAGTGGTCAAGCCAGTGATTTTATCCTCCCACACAAGTCTGGTATCAATTAACCGACCCGGGAGTGATGGCACGCTTGGTTGGTTTGGGCGAATATCGATCCGGGTTTCGAACCTGTGAGCATGCATGAGCGATGGTGCGCCACTTGCCACTACACCAACACTGCCCACAAAAAAATGCAATTAAAATTTCCTGTGATATACACAATCACTTGATATGTACATCTGATATCTCACCAGAAATCATGGCGTTTCGGGTGTTAATGACCGACCTGCGGTGATAGTGGTTTCTCTGTCGAGTCCCTTATTGAGCCTACTGATGAGATTCCTCGAACCCCTTCCTCTTGTCAATCTGATTTTCTTTATTATGTGCGCGAAGTGATTCCTGCATGAGATGGGCACTTCAAATCCTGTCCGACGAATCTTCTTAACTGACGCTAATCCCAATGTTGTTCAGAATCTAACGCCTAAGTCTTCTGCAGACATCATCATTTCTCCTTCTCTATCTGATATAAGCGTCCTACTCCCTTCCCACCCTTTCTGCTGCCGAAAGTTCGAAGCACTTCTGCACTTTTAATCGCCGCCAAAGTAACCAGAGTAAAGGAAACCAAAAAGGGTTCAGGAAGGGTTCAGAGTTCAATCGTATTCCTACTTTTGCTGGCGACTCCTACTAGACAACTAATCCTTCGGATTACAGAATGTGCTTCAACAGTTCATTGTGTTTGCTTACCGCCTTAGTTCGGTTTGATGAATGCCCTTCGCGTCTTAGAACCCTGAACTGCCAGATAATGACAGGGTAAAACTTAAAGATAAAAGTGACTTTCATCTATTCGGTAGTGGCCATCTATTTCCCTCATGTGTACTGGCATTTCGCCCCACCCTCTAACTGCCTCGAATTTCGAATCAATGAGCAGAAAAACATAGCAATCTGGTCTCAACATCTAGAAAAAATATATTCCCACTGGAAGCTTCCCAAGCTAATTCTCCCAAGTCTACAACCATGCAGGTTTGGTATTCGAAAAATGGAACACTTGCACTTGAGTTGAAGAGCTGTTTACCACAATGACAAAATATCTACCAGTAAAAACTCACAGCTAATATCAATCCCATTGGCATCAGCGCTGGCAAGGTAGGCAGAACCCCATCATGAGCGCAGGCGGAGCCTGGCAAGTCGTTGAACCAGCACGATTTTCAAATGGCACAACAGAATGTACTTTTTTTGAAGGGAATCTCAACCAAGGTCAAGCGTGGGATGGTCTTCCCCTAAAACTAACACGTTCTCTTGCAACCTTCCCCCCCCCCNCTTTTGCCGTTAGGGGGACTTAGGAAATCCACACTGAGCGTTGGTAATAAGGCGTCTACTCATTGAATTGTAGCTTACTGGGATTCCTAAACCGTGCCCTTAACTCCGGTCTAGGCAACACTTAATCCCAGAAATGAACGCTTTCGCTGATGTGGAGCGATAGACTTCAGATCTGACAATGAGTGGGAATCAGGGTTCCGTCCCGGAATCGCCAGACCCTTGAGTTCAAAATTCATTGACGATCTGTGGTTGATGGTGCTCAGGCTTTGTCGCCCAGTCGCCTTTTCGGGCGGGGCTTGCGGCGGCACTTTTCGCTCGGGCGCTCTCCCATCCATCGGCGTCGACCTCACACTATCTCCCGCCGCAATTTATTCCCGTTTCACAATGTACATTGCTTGCCTCGTTCAATCACGAATTCAATTCGATTGAGGAACAATTCCATACTGTTCGATTCTTTTCAATGTATGTGTCAACGTTCGGGTGAATCTTCCCAAACCCAATGGGAACATGGCCTCCGTTGTCTCTATCGAATCTGCCCTTTCAGATTTGATATCTGTATCCATGTTATTTATTCACACGTCCAGTTTTTTATTTCGATATTCCAGAACATTCCCTATCCTTTCAATTTTTTCTCTCCGAAACCACTTTCACGCTTGAATATCTTCCATTCGGACAGTGAACTTCTAACCTTTCAAAAAGGCTCCCATACGCTCTGAAAGGGTCATAGCATAGGGACCGACTATGAAGGGTTTCATTGAAATTGGAAAGCAGTATTACCCAAGAAAGACGCCGTCCCGTTTTTTGCTATCGCTCGTTATTGTAGTTTCCCAGTCGCGCTAAAGACTTCCATCGAACAAGGTCGTGTCAAGATTCATTAACTACTAAGAGCTATTTATATATGACCTCGTTACGAGTGATTCCACAATGTCATCATAAAAACAGCTTATCTCCCACGTTCTCACCATTCCCACAGGTCAAAGGACTCAATTTTCTAGCTCGGACTGTAAGAATCCCCAGAGGGCCAGACAATCACTGGGACAGTTCAACTGCGAAACTGACGTGACCATTTGAAGCGAGAACAAAAGGGCCCAGTTATAGGAGCTAATACGTCCAATATTTTATGAAGAAAAAAAAGTGGGGTGGAAATGTTGTGAGGGAGGCGGGGGACGAGGCACAACCTTTATCCAACGTTTGGGCGCATAGAAGGAAGTATAATCGAAATTACTTATGCTTAGAAAGGTCCTTAGTCGAAGGAATATAGTTTCCACCTGAATCTTAGTTGGGGAGGGAGCAGCAGCGAAGTGGGTGAGATGTGCAGCAACCTTGTGGAAAAAGCTGGGATGGGGCAAGAATTGAACATTCAGTTGGCTCCGCACCTCGGTGCTCCACCCTTCCTATGGCTGAGGTAAAAAA